ATGTGAGTTTTTAGTCCCTTCAACTGTCATAGCGGAGCGTGCATATGATATGGTAAGCGTCTATCTACTTTCTTTACTTGCTGCTGTAAGAATAAATACTGGCAAAGTGTATGAAATATAAATGTGTAAGTAATTCATTTACAGAGTACAACATTCTTGAAAAGGTAAAACGTTAGCGTTGTTAAAGTGTGTAGCTATATATAGGCCCTGCTCCCTGGAATTGATTTATCGGCACAATTAACATTGAGCACATTCGGGCTGTCCCTCCCATCATTAAATATGTGGTACACATTATAATTATTGTTGTATATTGTCGTGTGATACATCAGGTTAAATTTCGAAAGACCTACATACTTCTATCTCATCCCAGAGTGATGTGTGAATTATATCTCCATTCTCAGTGATTGCTTTTGTGTACCCCCGTTCCCTTCGCTATTGAGCAGCTTGTTAATTGCTTTGCTGAAAGAGACGAGTGGTTAATGAAGGATGTCTCCTTAATATTGTGATCGTGTACTTTGTTTATACATGATGATGGTGATGATGATAATGATGATGAAGGTCATGGCTTTTTGTATATGTACCATGTGAGTCAAACAAAAGTTGGCACTCAGAAACTTGTCATTTATTGTAAAAGTCAGCTATGAACGAAAGGTTATCAAACATGATTTGAAAGAGTGTTACATCTCGAATCGTTTGGTATCATTTTTGTGTGGTATGTCTTCACGCTTGGATGAATAGGAGGCATTGTTTGCAAGAGTGCAAAAATCGACTTGCGCAAAAGTATTAAAGTGAGAGAATGAATTGAATGTATCAAATGAGATGCATTGCATATGCTTTTTTTCAGAAGCAAAGTCACACACACACACACACACACACGCATTCTCACATCAGGGCCTTTGTGGGGCACCTGATTGTGGGGTATTTCTGTGCGTTCCAGATATACCTTGTGGTCCCCTACTAGTGGGGTATGTACAACCTGGCGATAACAACCCGGCGGTGTGCTTACGATGTTACCATAAAAAAGTGTGCAAGTTTTAGCACACGCTCACAAAAAGTCATTTATGGGGTACCACTTCTAATGCCCCGCAGGGCATAGGACACCGAATATACAGTCATTTGAAAGACTTTACTCTGTGGGGTCCTGAAAAAATACCCCACAAAGTAAAAATGCCTCACAAGGGGTATGTGAAGCGCACATAAAACCCCACAAGAACGCTGAGGTGAGAGCGCACACTCACACGTACGCGCACACACAGACACACTTCTGCGCACTCACACACTTAGATAAATGAAAAATACACGCAGCCAAGTCATCTTACGTAATGGACATTTCTGTAAAATCGCAATTCATTCATGATGCAAAAATTAAAGTTTGGTGCAATAACATCACAATGAATTGTTTTCCCAAAGGAATCAGTCAGTCTGCTTTTAAATGTGCTATGTGTGTGGGTGCGTGTGTGTGTATGTGTATATGTGACTGACCGAGTGTGTGTTCTGATATGTGTGGCATGATTAATTTTGTTAGGGATGTTTAATATTTGGATCTGCAAAGACCGAATTAATACCCAATTCAAACATATAGGCATAACTTTGGCGCAAGTCGACTTTTGCACTCTCTTAAACAATGTCTCCTGTTCATCTAATCGTGACCACATACCACACAAAAATGATACCAAATGATTTGGGATAAATAACTCTTTCATAAGATGTATATTAGTTTACTGTTCATATATGATTTTTTAAATAATTAGCAATTTTCTAGGTGTATACTTTTTTGGACTCACACTAGCGCCAGTTAGCCTCTGCCAGGCGCTTTTGGCGCTTACTCTCCTATGGCTCACGAAATCAACGTTCTTTGTCAGCGTTTCAAATTAAGATTAGAGTCCATTAGTCTTTGTAAGCATTATTAATTGTAAGATGATGTCGTAGCTGGAAACAGGAAAGTCTTGATGGCTGACATGACAGTTGACATAGATTCAGCGCTCCTGATAGATTGCGGAAGGCTATTCCACAGCTTAATTAGACTGGGTTAGCTCCAGAGAAGGATATAAGTCTCTGTCACCCCAAACCGACTGTGTGACTGAGGGTTTTTATCAGGAATCTTGGTCGGCTGATCTTATATTACGCCCTGGTCCATGCTTCAGTAGGAACTCTGAGATGTAGGATAGAGTTTTAGTAAAGGATAAGTCCACTCCAAAAAAAATTGCTTTAAAAAGATAAAGGAAAGAAGAGAAACAGAGGGGAAAATTTGAGTAAAATCGGATAACTAATAAGGAAGAACCCCATGCATTTGCCCAGGATTTGTTGCGTGCATGACATTTCACAAAATCTGTTATGAAATTTGATGAATTATTACTATTTTCTGAATATTGTATGTTCATAATCATTGATATTTATATTAATAGTTTATCTAAAAGAATCATGATTTAACTGAAAAAAACTAAGTTAGTGCATCCACAGAAAAACATATACTATCAATATAAATTGGATGCTGGTGTGAGGAAATCAGTTTTTTAGGGGGTAAATTAGCAATGTATATCATCAATATAAAGTTTAAAAATTAGTGGATAGTGAGGCAATTACGTCACAGACTCATGAATGAGTGGCCAATTTGTCTTAGGATTTTCAAAGTTTTTCATGTCATTAAAAATTCATAACTTTCTTATTAGTTATCCGATTTTGCTCAAGCTCTTTTTTTTTGGTTTGTCGGTTCATTCTGCTTTTATTAAAAGTAAGTTTTTTTTAGAGTGTGCTTGCCCTTTAAGTGTTTTTAACACTAGAACTCCAAATTTAAGATGATCCTCTTATTGATAGGAAGCATGCAGTGAAGATCTCGTATAAATGGATTGATGTGAACTCTCTTCCTTTGTAAAAACAAGAGCCTTCAAGTCATATTTTGCAGTCGCTGCATTTTGTGAATTTGAAATGCACATGTTCAGTCGAGTCGATCATGGTATTTACCACGAATGGAATGAAAAAGTTAATCAATATATTGGGATAGTTACTATGCAGTAATGTTCCTCGTTTCTCCACTTACGGTGTTCTTACCAAAGTAATAGATGAAGACGGTAAAAATAAGTGATACCAAAAATACAACTAACTTTGGTACGGTTTGATTGATTTTATTTCTTAAATGCAATACATTTTATACATAAGCTGACAACTAGCATGATTTTTTTTTTCTTGTATCATTATATTCCGATAATGCATTATCAAGGATCAAGGTATGAACGAGTGTTTGAGACCGTATATTATATCAAGTTTTGTTTTATTTTCATTTCGGGATTCGATTAATAATCTTACCTGATAAAGCATAGAAATAAATGGCATAGGAATTGTGTTTTCGTAAATTGTGATCCATTGCGCCAACTATTCTAAACACGATTTCGGAGACTTAAACATTAATAATGTAGCTGCTGCGTTCCTGCTATGTAATTATTTGTAAACTTGTAGGGGGCTAGGCTAGAAAGTACTCTGGCATCAATCCTTATCAATCCCAAAGTCTGGAATTATCGAGTACATCCATTTTCTTTCTTTTCCCATGAGGATAGATAGTGCTAGCAGATAACAGTTCCCTCTTCGGGAAACTACTCATCATTGATTATACCAAGGGCTTAACAGATTTTCTTTGTTCCGAAGTTCAGTCATCTTCGTTTTTCTTAAATTTATTATGCGAGGGAGCGTAGTGACCGAGCGATTAGATTTTCGATAATTTCCGAGGCTGCAAAGCGACCCAGATTTAGACAATTTCGCATTGTCAACCATTCTTATTCAATTTAAAAGAGGGCATATTAATGTTCCTCTTTTCTCACATTTATTTCTCTCTTATTTTATATCATGCTCTTTTTCTCACCCCTGTTCCTCTCTCTCTCGTTTTGTCGTGTCTTCTCTTTATTGTTACCGAGTCACATCTGAAGTCACATTGCAACATGTATGCATAGTCCTATATACACATTTCTCTGTGCAGCGCATGTGCTTTTCATCAAGATTGAAGCAATTTCTTATCAATTTTATTTGAAACTTCACAGTATAAACAAATCCTTGTGTTCATCAACATCATCTGTTTCTTTCACTATCCTATTTAATGACCAAAACTCAAATTAATCTTTGAAGGTTGCTCTTGACCTCTAGCAAAACTCTTATGATCGATATGGATATTGATTTTTAATATGAACTGCGTACATATTATGACGAGCTTAATTTCAAAAGGCGCTAAATTCACTTTATTGAAGATAAATATATGTATCTGACATATGGGAATCAACAGCACTATATTGCGCTTCAAATGTAATTTTTCAAAAGGTAGAAATTTCGATTGCAAATTTTCGTTTCATTCCACAGGGATTAAATCCAAGTGGGTTCACATTTCGATTATGAATCTATTCGTTTAAATCACGTTTCCTTAATAAGCTGATTCTTTTTTTTAGAGATGGTCCAGTTATCAGTTTAGATGGTCAGTGCAAAATTTCAATAACTTTAACATGTCTACATAATTTTTCTCAATGAACAATTTTGGATTTGGCTCCTTTTTGGATAAAAGATCCGAAAGCAATGTTTTCAGAGGAAATTTATTTTTAAAAGCAATTAAGAAAAAAATTGTTGTGCTTACAAGTCACAGTATTCGTGTATTTTGCTTTGAATTTGAATCGTTAAATTTTTTAAAAGTGCATAGGAGACGGCCGACAGGAGTTTCATTCCAGAATCCACAAAAAAATTAAATTATAAAAACTTATGTAAGAAATAAAGAAAATTAATTGCTAGATCTGTGTAATTATCAAAATAATGTATGGAAAAACGCCTACCAAATATTCAAATAATTATGATGTAATAACTGCTAAGAGAAGTTGGCAAAATTAAAAATCCTTCAATTTTAACATTGAATTGAATGTTATGTTTAGATCCGATTTCCTTTCTTAATCATTAGGTAATTTTAAGACATTCCACATGATTTTATTATTGTTTCAATTAATACTTTTGCATAAATTATTTTGATCTTTCAGATGACGAGCATTGTGAGCAAGGAATGGGAAGCCATCTAATTACTAATGCACGATGTAATTCAACATCATCATCATCATCATCGTCATCATCATCATCAATCAAGATTATTAATAGCTTATGGAATCAAACTAGGTTGAGCAGCGACTACGTACGTGCCTTACACAATAATGAAAGGACATTAGACGGCTGTTACAGGAAACCTTAATTTTACGATGATGGAGCAGCAAGGAAGATTTAATACGACTCTGGATAACAGCACAAATCTCAAGATTGATAATAGAGCAGCGGGTCTCTCACTTGCTGTTCTAGTTGCCATGGGAATCGTTGGTAACATTGTATTCCTCTTTTCGGTAGGGTCAGCCATGCGAACAGAACGACATCGGTGGAATCGACTTGTACATGATCTTATCTTCGTGTATGGATGTCTAGAAGTGATCTTCTTTTTCATACCTTGTATTCTTTCAACCTATGCCTATCTTACTTCATGGAGAGTTGACATGAACCAGTCGGTATGCGACTTTTTTGGATGGGTAGTTTTTGTCGTGAAATTTGGATCATTATGGATGATAACGATTCTAGCAATTGAGAGATATCTCGTTATATGCAGGCAAGGAGGACTATCCAATCGATTTGCATGGACAATGAGAACCATTACGTGTGGTGGAATTGTAATTGTGATAATTTATGCGGCAGTTCCTTTAATAGTGAAGGATGGCATGGTATCGTCAAGAGCTGTTCCAAGCACCATTTGTCATTTTGATTTGACTCCGGCAACAATGAGCTCTCAAGCATTTGTGATCACAACTATCGTGCTAACCTATATCATGTTCCAGATAACACTTTTCTGTCACGTGTCTATTCTCTGCTACCCATCACGTGATGTACGAGGGAAGAAGGCGCCAATCCAAGATGACGTCACACAGCATCATCGTATGAACCACTCCTTGGCATATATATTTTTCCCACTCACGATATGGGTGTGGCTTTGTACCATCCCATTATGGGTAAGAATACCTTCTATCAATCGAGAAGATTTTAGTCCGTTAATGTTTGCTTCTGTGTCGTAGGCCGATATTGTAATGAGATGAATTGTGGTTTTATCTCTCCAGTACGTATGCCGCCGATTTACTTATAAATTAATGTTAATCTGGACCCTGCATTGCATTCTCACATGAAAATCCAATTAATTTGCCAAGTAATTTCTAAAAATCAGAATTTAAAAGGGGCCAATTTCTATATGATTTTGATAATTCACTCACATGATGTGCTTTATGTTAGTTTCATCGCGTCGGAGGTGTATCAAAATAAAAACATGGATAAAAGAAAGATTACATATTGATATTCGATTGCAAAATATTCTATTATGAACTACTTGATGAATCAGATGAGCTTTAATGTTTTTTGTTTTGATGCACCAAACATTTTACTACGTTATGTTATCATGGAAATATCTCTAATATCAAATAGCATGTCACATCCTGGGGGGGGGGGGTACTTCCTTAAATTTTAATGACATTTTAGAGTATTTTGCATAGGCTTTACAGCTTTTGACCATTGGAGACTATAATTAATAACTGTATATGCGATTTTAGTATCCTTCTGCTAATAAATTAAGCTTGGTAACAAAAGGCATACAATGCCTTTTGTTACCAAGCTTAATTTATTATTCGTATTCGCTCTTGCATCTTTGTTTGTCAGCAATATTGGACTAAAATAATTTTGACATTTCATTTTGTTTATTACAGGTACAAATAATTTAATACCACATTTGAACAAACTTAACTTGGTAGATTTCTAGATTTTGTTTGTGTTATTCGCAACATTTTCTTCTCTTTATATGTTTTTAAAAATTTAGATAACTCTGATAATGACGCAAACTGGATTTGAAGTCAGCCCTGTATTAGAGTTTGGTATAGTACGTACATTGACGGTATGTTCAGCCTTAAGTCCATATATTCTCCTATCATCCAGTGTGTACTACCGATCGGCATTGTGTCATTTCATCTGCTGTAGAGATATACCGAGAAACAAAAGACACATATATGGACAAAGCAGTGAGTATATAGAAATCCCTCATTTCCTTCTTCTGCTGCCGTTATGTTTAAAAGAGATATTCAAACTACCCCGACTCTTTTCTGTCACTGTCTTAATATTTCTAGATAACTCTAAAGAAGCTTCATTTTACATGACACTGTAACGTCTCTTTGTGTTCCTTGAAATGTCAGATTATCTTAATTTCAAATTGACTATTTATCTCCGCCATTGATTTGACGGAACTTCGCATGTCTGACATTGGAGAGCTAGTACACTTCGATATTTTATCACGTAAAATTTGCTAGGTGCTTGATTAGCTTTTGCTATTTCCGACGTTCTCTAATAATACCTCCTTGCTCCAAAAAGCGATTATATCTGAGCTGGTTGTAATTAGCTACGAAGCTCCATGAATATCAAAAGAGCATTCTCACGTGGCTTCAGGGTGTGCAATGCGTGATCAGATTTATCCTTTCAATCGCATTGTTTGGAGGCAGAGGGGAGGGGGCGGCGGAAATGTTGAACATCCATCTAATTAGTTCGTTGAGAGAGAAAGAATTACAAACAACCAGTATAATATTTCTATAAAATGAAACGGTAAATTCGAACCCAAAGGAAATACATGAATACAAACAAGGCGAATTTAACAAATTGTATTGTTACGGGGAAATCTGCAATAATGTTAGATATGTGAATTGCATTCATATCCTAGTCGTCGCAAAAAAAATTGCACTAACTTTTAATGCATGAGACCCGTCATTCGCTATCTACGACCGGTACTGAATTTAGTTTTATATTTCAACTTGTATTATTATTTCATCTGAAAAAATAGGTGGTTAACATGAGTATTTGCCTTGTGCCGTTGCGTTTTCTTTAGAGCAAAAAATTCGACCTTGCCAGGACTCGAACCTGGAATCCTCTGATTCGTAGTCAGATGCCTTATCCATTGGGCCACAGGGCCAATATAATTTCATATAGGGCGTCAAGAGATCTCGTAACTTTACCTCACCTCAGTCTGTTAATCTATTCTTACTTCATTGATGCGATTATAACTGAAGAATATAATTGCATATGCGCTTCACCATGAAAATATTATTTTAAGAACATAATCAAGTCTCTCCATGAGGAACACATAAAATACGGTTCTATAAAATAATAATAGTAACAGTAATATACAGTATACTTGCGGTTGCACTATGTGAGAAGAGGGAGGATTGGGGAGTCCTGGAAAAGACTGCCTGTTGGTAATCTTGAATAATAAAAATAATGATAATCTACCAGGGTATTCGTTTTGTAGTACATTTTCATAATTCATTTTTTAAATTAATGAATGAATCAATTTATTTACTAACTTATTCAATTGATCGATTTTGATGTACAGGTATAACAAAATAACATCCACAGTCCAGTGGGAATGTATAAGTATCAAGAGCACCGTGGAGAGTTGTCTCAAATGACTTACCAGTCATGCGTGCAAGTACAAATATAGGACTCTCATTTTATTCAGAGCATGATTTTTGCTAATATCGTGACACTTGATTTGCTATGAAAACAGCCTATTTTTTCAAAATTTGTGAGAAATGACTGTAGCTTTAGAAGAAAAAAAAGTCTCCCGTGCTATTAAACAGAACCTTGAAAATCTCAAGTACATGTGAGAATATGTTGAGGAATGTTGATTTATAAACCAATTATTTTCTCTTTTTACAGATAACATGCCCAGTGTGATAAGATGTGAAGATTGTCAAGCCCGTATCAACCGATTGGAAGAAAATGGACAAAGGTAATGATCCCTAATCCCACTGGCTCTATTATCACTTCAAAGATTTATCGAATGACTGTAGCCCGCCAGAAGTAGTGGTTAGAATATCGTGAAATAATAGCTGTAGCACAACTTTAACATAGTATACCATGCACGGCAATGTGACACTATCCACTTCTGAATGATATACATATACAAAGATAATAGAAAATAGATACACTGCATGTTTGCAACGTATTCTTGTCTAAATGTAGGGATATAATATTAAGCAATCTTTCTTTTTAAGCCATGCTAAATGTATCATGTTGTTTACCGAGTATTAATACCGATGCCCCTCCCATGATGGATGTACCCCTCAATGACTGGTCTGACGCTTCACCAGTGATATACATAAGGGCTAGGATTTGACTTGGAGATGCGAAGGTCGAGGATTCGAATCCCGACACGGCACTAATATCCTTTGGCAAGATATTAACCTGCACTTTCTACTCTCCACCCAGGTGTTAAATGGGTACCCGGTACTGCCGGTAGGATGCGACCGTCATTGTTGGTCAAACAGTTTTTGAGCGTCACGTAACGCCTGGCTGGAATGCTCCCCAGGGAGTGGAGTTTGTTAACACATTGTGTGCTGGCAAGCACTGAATCCATGACCGAGGTAATAGTATATTTATAAAGCGCTTAGAGACATTTGTATTAAGCGCTATATAAAAATTATTATTATTATTATTTTTTTAAATAAATAATTATTAATTTATTATTTGTTGTGTTCTCTTAACCCGCAGAGTAAATACCCTGACGGTTCGTGTGGACCCAAGAGATACAATGATGAGAGAGCCAGTCAATCAAAACGAACAAGACATAAAAAGCACATCACAGCCACACGCCACTAATGAGGAAATGACATCCAACGGGCGTTTAGATTGGATAAATGTTGAGGTTGAAGACGACGCCCATCAGATATCTGCGTTGGATGACGGCCCTGCTTCAACCTCTACTCGGGGAATGCTGCCAGATGATTCGAGGATTTATTTATTATCTGCAGGAGAGAATGGTGAACTGGTGTGTCGTGGATCATTCGATGGCGGATCATACAGAGATGATAATGAATGTTCATCGCTGAGGAGTGATCATAGCACCAACTCAAGTCAGGGTATGACCATGTATTATTCATCAGAGGGAATTTAAAATTCACACACAGTTGGTTGGAAACACAATTTAAAGGATAGTTAGTGAACGTTTGAGATGAAGCAGACACAGTGATTTGTATCTAGTAGAAACGATACAGTGTGAATGACTACCATTGCGAAAGTGGAGACTCTATTTTTTCCAACCGACTGTTACTTGACTTTCTGCTTACTATCTAGTCAACATGATATGACAAAGCAATGTACCCTAAGATATTCGGATATAATATCCCCCGAAAATTTGGCTTAAAATGAATTTCTTTGAGGTGTGGTCTCTGTACTGTCGAACATTTCCAATACATGAATGAACAACATACGTATATATACAGTTATCAACAAATTTGTTCATACCCCTCAAAAATTAGAGGCTTTTTGTGTTTTTCGTAACTCAAAAATGAAAGGTGGACTGGTTGAATTAGGGTTTTATTTAATACTTTTAGATGTAATCTTTCATTATGTCACATTTGTCAAGAAACATAAATCGGGACAGATCAGTTGTTAACATACTTTAAAAATTCCAAAACCTTATACTAAAGGGTATGACTGATTTGCTACACACACGCACACACACAAACATACACATTATGTTACGATAAATCAATGTAGAAAAGGGTACTAAGGAATCTTGCAAAATATTTTTTTTTTCTCTTCCTAGTAACGCCATGTGCTTTACTGATATTGTCAAATATAATCATTTCTGTAAGATTTCTTTTCGTTACACACAAAAAAAAGGATCAGGCTTGATCTCAACTATAATACCACTTCTTAAGAAAAAGAAAATCTTCACCCACGTTTTATCAAACCGTCGATGGTATGCTGTAGGGGCTAGGAGTCATTTGATCTTGCTTCATGAAACCATCGTAGCCTTCAGAAAACTTCCCTTATGTTAATATGTTGATTTTGTTTTGTATATTATCTTGTAACATAGGTTCTTCACTAAGGAATGGATATCCCGAAGAAGAATACGAACCGCCAGACGATGATCAAGCAGGGGGATACCTTATCACACTTCCAGTCAATATGCCAGGTCAAGGGTCAAATGAGACTGTCGAAAGAATCTTCTACATCCAGGAACCCCTCCAGAGAGTTGTGGGATCCCCTGGAGCAGAGAAAGATGGCGATGTTCAAGTTGATGGTATCAACGACACCACCGGTAAGTTAGAGGATGCGTCATCCGACATGGCATCACCGAGTTCCGATACGGCTCATATATCAATACCCAACTTGGCTGGATTGGTAACAGAGGAGGAGGATAGTGGAAGTGACTTAGATCTGGAGGACGAGGAACTCAGTAGAGTTGAAGCTGAAATCAGAGGGAAGATTATGGGACGCTCAAATCTAGGAAAGATAAGGCGAAGTAGTGCACCCCAAGTCAAAACGTGGAGCTCTGATCAAGATACTTCATCTCTAGTACAAGAAGGAATAAGAGAGCAAGATATCAGGATACATGGTCCATCTGTGTCCGATCCACACCTTGTGACGTTAGCTTTCCAGCAGGCTATGCTAGCACATTCGCAGCAGTATATGACCGATAATAACAATGAAAGTGATGAAGAGAATGGAATGATCCATAAGAAATCACTTGGTCGGCTAATACCAGTGATCAATATCACTCCAGCTCAGGGTTTAGACGACATGGATGAGGTCCAACCAATATTTTCTCAAGTAAGGAGTAACCGACTGGATTATCGCTTTCTGGCTCCAATAGCCGAGGAAGTTGGCTTTGTCAGTAATACGAGTTCAACACGCAAGCAGAATTTGTCGTCGATATTGAATGCAAAGCATGAAAAGGTTCACCGCATGCCAAAGACAACCTCTCATATCCAGATCATGTCGAATTGGAAACTACAAAAAGACGTTAGACGGTCATCTTCACCAATTCTGGTGATACAAAGACAAGATGCAACAGAGCAGTTGCGGGAAGACGATACAAATGCCTCAAAGGAAACTGATTCTGATGAAAAGCGAAAATGTCCTCCTGCTTTAGAAGATGGATCCGTGGATAGTGGCTGCGATCCGGTCACCAAAGATTTCGTTGCCACAGAAAAAGAAGAGTCAAGTAAGAATATGTCCCCTCGGACATTAGAAAAGATAGGCAATGTAATCGAGGGCTCAGTTGGAGGAAAGGAGAGGGCCACAGATCCTCTTCTAGAAACGCCAGAATGGATCAATGTTGAACAAGCCATGCAAGGACAAATCAACCAGGGATTTGTGGCCAGAGAAGATATAGTAGATACATCATCGAACCCTAATGGACTGGACAACAACAAATCATCACCAGCTGCAATTGATAGACATGAATATACTTCCTACATAGACAGTGTTGAGGTAGGTTCTGTTCATAAAGACGCAGAAATAAATTCCATAGAGAAAGTCAACACTGAAATAGAAAATATGATCAACAAATCTGAAGAAGGTATTGATTCCTCACATCCCAATATCAGTTCTAAAAGTGAAGAAGATGAGAGTAGACCGCCCGAATCGATGGAGACTTCGGAAGATGGTGATCGTGATGTAAGATCTTTCAAGAAAGGACCGCCCCTAAATAGACAAGAAGGGTTCAAAGATGGTTTGAATGATGTGTACTCACCTACAGTCTTTGGACAATCCACAGATAATACCTTAATCCAGTCGAAAGCCACTACTTCCGAAGTAAGCGATGACATCACCATGTTGCAATATTCTACATTGGACAGTGACAATGGTGCAATGAAAGCCCAAAACCTGGGAAATGAAGGCGTAGCTACAGGTATCGCAGAGAGTAGTATAGACGTAGATCCAATGCGGACATATTTGACAGAAAATGAAAAGGGTGCGCACAAAAGTAGAGCAACTGAAGAGCTTTTGACATCACTTTCAAAGGGGAAGAGACTCTCAAAATCTGCACTGTCTGGGGCAAACTCTTACCCACTATCAAGCATGCGCGGTTTCTCCATCGACGGTAATCTCTATGTACTGTACCCGAACAAGTGGAAAGGAAATAAGTCTATTAAAGCGACCAGAGACATAAGCGAAGGTTTAAGAAGATCTGAAAATGAATCAAATATGTTTTCATTAAGCAAGAAGGGCGAGTCCATGGTTGAAGGCGTGGCTTCTAACAGGAGTGCTTCTTTTCCGAGTCATAGAAAGGTTGAATTCATGAACATTGAGACTAAGAGAGAGCAACCTCGTGTACAAATTGCTATGTTATAGATACGATACTAAGGACTTGTGTTAAAAGCAAAATTAATCAAAAATGAAAAGGCCAAGTCTACTCCAAAAATGACTTACTTATAGTAGAAGCAGCAAAATCAGACAAACCAATCAAAACAAGTTTAAGCGAAATCAGATAACCAATAAGAATTTTTTATTGATATGAAAGACTTTGAAAATCACAAGACAAATTGGCAAATCACGCATGAGTCTGTGACTTCATTGCCTCACTATTCACTTATTGTTTTCTTTATATTGATAATTTAAATTTCCTATTCTCCCCTAAGAATCTTATTTCCTCACACCAGCTTGGCCTTTAAAGGCCAAGTCTCTACTCCAAAAAGAACCTACTTTCAATAGAAGCAGACAAATCAGACAAACCAATCCACAAAAAAATAGAGTAAAATCGGATAACTAACGAGGAAGTTATGAATCTATTTTAAAGTATGAACAAATATGGAACAATGGAAATCAATGCTAAAATTACCAATTCGGTTATCAGTGTGTGACGCCATTGCCTCACTATTCATCAATTGCTTTATATATTTTTATCCAATTTATCCATTAATTTCCCTTTTTTTATCCCCCAAAACTTGATTTCCCCATGCCTTTGCCCAGGTTATATGGTTTGTATCATATTGCGTGCATGACATTTCACAAAATCTGTTATGAACTTTGAAGAATTGATGCTATTTTCTGAATATTGTATATTCATAATAATTGATTCTTACATAATCAGTTTATCAAAATTCAAATTTGTAATGATTTAACTGAAAAAAAATTAGTCTATAATAGTGCATCCACACGAAAACATATTACTATCAATATAACTTGGATGCTGGTGTGAGGAAATAAGATTCTTAGGGGGAGAATGGGAAATTTAAATTATCAAAATAAAGAAACCAATAAGTGAATAGTGAGGTAATGACGTCACAGACTCATTAGTGAGTTGCCAATTTGTCTTGTGATTCTCAAAAGCTTTCATGTCAATAAATATTCATAACTTTCTAATTGGTTATCTGATTTTGCTCAAAGGTTTTTTGATTTTTTTTCCCGATTTTCTGCTTCTATTATAAGTAAGTTATTTTTGGAGTGGACTTGCCCTTTAAGAGTATGCATTTACAGTGTATAAAAAGAAAACACTAATATCTTGTTCAAGAGTGGGCTAAGGTAAGTTATAAGCCCCCGTATAAGCCTAATCAGCTACAGCATCGCTTCCTAATCCGAAATAAATTGCATACCTTGCGAAGTTTTTATTTCCAATCTCAGCTTTCTCCAAGTCGTCATCAAGCACAGGGAAATTGTAATCATGGAATTTAAAAATGAGACCATTTGGATTTCGATTGAGGAAATATTTTTTAATGAACAGAAGAGTAAGAGGACGAAGAAGAAGAAGAAATGAAGGAAGAAAGAAGAAGAAGATAACAATAGAATGAGATGAAGAAGAAGAGGACGAAGAATGATATGAAGAGGAAATGATATAAGAATGAAAAGGAGAAGGAATTGGAGGAGAAGAAAATAGAGGAAAAAAGAAAAATAAGATGAAAGTAGTGATGATGCTGTTGATGATGAAGAAGAAGAAAAGGGTAGTCTCTCAGATTTGTTTTCTCAAAGAGGAAGTCAATGTCTCATGGTTCGAGGGAATATAATAAGTGTACAAGCGACTGTTTTTAGAACGCTTTATCAAATGACATGATGCAGAATCAAGAATGGCGTGTCGTTGTGAAGGCATATGAGTGGTGGTTTATCACTCCTCTTACAAGTATTGTCTAATTCACTGGCGTAAATTCCGGGTGGGCGGGGGAACATTCTAATTGAGAAGGGGGAGTTTGGCCGAGGAAAATAGAATTATCGAGTAACTTAAGTGATTACATTCCCATCTAAAATGTTCTTATCACCCCATCATCATCATCATCATTATAATTGTAATCGTGATAGTGGTGATAGCTAGAGGTGCGCTCTTCACATACCACTCTCTGTACCTCTTACTTAATTTGATCGTATCTGTGTTCTAATTTTATATTCTGTTGTTCTTTTGTGATCACATGAATTTGTATGTAATATATAAGTGACTAGACGTTTACTGAATACTTTTTTTTCAAGTACTTGTAATGTTCTTAGAGATTGTATGTTTACTCGTATACTACAGTAGGAGATTTTTCACCTGCTGCCATAATGTACATGACTTGTATTTTATTTATTGCAGTTTACTTTTTATTCAGTGTCACCCATTCATGCCATCATTTCTTTTAATACCAACATTTAATAATACGTTTCTAATCGTTTTACATTTCTCTGCTTTACAATTTTGTTAAATGGTCAAACTTATACCTCTTTCCTCTAGAGTTACTGATCTTGGAGTATATGCATCCATAGGCGCCGGAAGTGGGGGGCAGGGGGAGCAGTTGCCCCCCAGTCAAAAAAGTGTGGGGGGGGGGGGGGGAGGAAAACGCATTTTTGCCCCCCCCCCCAAAAAAAAGGGCCCCCCCCCCCCCCTCAAAAAAGAAAAGAAAAGCAGTAAAGGAGTAAAGATGGTTTATATTTGAACCCAAAAGAACATAACAATAATAGCAACCTGAATTAAATGTCATATAAATTTCCATTCAAAGAAAAGGAAAGTTAACAGGAATTAAATTTCCTAAACATTGAGCATGCTACATATATTTATCATTGGAGGTTTTTATAATAGCGATACGCGCATATCGTGGACATATTGTGAGAGAATGGGAAAGCGTGTCTGTTATTTGTTATAGGGGTGAGAAGACGTGAGCCCCTGAACGCTGGCGTACTGATGGGGGGGGGGGGGTATTTTTTATTCGATACCAGTAATTTACAAATGTTGCTGAAATGACATGGTTTTCCGGTATTTTTTCTTAATTTTTTTTTATCATACCTTTTTATGCGTTTGTTGGAAAATTAGAAATTCCCAAATTTACAGTCGGGCGCAAAATATGCTTATTTACAAGCCTTTGTGTCATGGTCTGCAGAACGTCCGGGCTCGGGGGCCCGAGCCCCCCTCACTTTTTGAAAAAGTTTGTTACAGAGAAAAAGAAAGAAAGAGAGAGAGAAAAAATAAGTGACCCACCAAGGGCCCTAAGGCGGTCCCCTGTATGCCCATCTGACCGTAATTTAATATCCTAAAACCCTCAAGCTTTCGGGGGATCTGCCCCCTGGACCCACCAATGGCCCTAAGGCGGGGCCCAGGATGCTCATCTGACCGTAATTAAATGCCTCATACCCCAGAGCTTACGGGGGCTCCGCTCCCGGACCCTATTTAGGGCCCTAAGGCGGTCCCCTGTATGCTCATCTGACCGTTATTAAATTCCTAAAACCCCTGAGCTTCCGGGGGCTCTGCCCCCTGGACCCCACCAAGGGTCCTAAGGCGGTCTCCTGTATGCTCATCTGACCGTTATTAAATAACTAAAAAAAACGAGCTTCCGGGGGCTCTGCTCCTTGGACTCTCCTCAAATTAGTGGCCTGCCAGTGTCACAAATAAGGTATTTAAAAATGCTTATCTGACCATGATTTTAATGCCTGAAACCCCTGAGCTTCTGGGAGCTCAGCCACTTGACCCCCTACCAGGGCTCAGGCCCTGGACCCCACGTCAATTTACGATCTACCTGATTGTTAATAATCCACTTGAAAAAACATTCCGCGGGGCCTGCATGTAACGTGTAAGAGTGGTGGTGATGCAGATTTTTCTTTTGCCCCCCCCCTCTTCCAAACGTTTTTGCTCGTTACGTCACTGGCTCACTGCCCCTGGAAGATAAGGCCCCTGGAATGTTTGCCCCCCCCCCCCCCCATCCCAAACTGCTTCCGGCGCGCCTGTATGCATCAATACCATATTCACATTGTCCTTGATATCAAGACTGTCACCATGCTGTTCGTGCATTAATTCTACCCAGGTTAGATTATTGTAAATAGTCTTTATACCGTTCTGTCTACAAAAGATAGAAGGTAATATGAAATGTCCAGAATCGAGCCGCTAGATTAATTTTTAGTCCTTATTCGCATCCGTTTTAGCACTCCTGAATAATTGCTTTTTTGTTATTATCATTTTTATTATATTATCATTATTGTTATCATGTAGAAGTAAAGTTTTCCCCAAAATTGTACAGTGTGGTATATGTACACAAACATATATATTGTGTATGTGTGCTTCTAAGCAAAGAAAAACAAAGATGAAATAAATTTCTCATTTTGCATCAAACTTGCTCATGTTTCCCCCTTTTGCAATTTGTTGTAGGATTACGTTTTAGACAGTGTAAATACTTTCAAATCCGTCGCTGCGTTAAACACACGATTACTTTTTTTAAATTTAGATTTGATTAAAATCCTGATATTCTTACTAATCAAACTAATAATACGGTCCCAAAGCCGCCTAAAAGTCAATTTAAGGACATTATTTTCTTGTTTTCTCTCTAATTTTTAGAGAGGGGGGGGGGGTGCTGATGTTACTTGGCAAAGTGAATTTTGGAGGGGAGGGTCAGATGTTTATGTTGATACACCCGAAACTGGTGTGACGGTGACAGGAGTTCAGCCGCTTAGATGTCCATGCAATGCAAACATAAAACAAACATAGAACATTATTAGTGACTAACACATGATTACCTAAAATGTGGCTGCTTATTTTTTATTCTTGGTCTGGAATGTGTCAGGATGGGCAAATTGCCCTTTGCCCCTCCTTCAAATGTTAGTGATAATACACACACACACACACACACACATATATATATATACATACAGTGTGTCCCAGAAAAAGCGAAACTAAGAATTATCGATGTTTTATCATAACTTAATCACAACTATAATTAATAAATGACAGATATTTGTAAAGCTTATATCCTCCTCTTTCATTTGAAGCAACTTATGTAATGCATATTTCACGCATGAGTGATTAAAGAAAATTTGAAGAGAGGAAACCAAAAAGTCATTTGGCGGGCGGTATCTGAATTTCAAAGAGAAAATGACTTTTCTAGAAAGTTCATTTTCTGCCCTTTCATTTGAGACCTCAATCAGGACAAATGAGCCAGGAATAACAAAGTTCTGTTTGTTTAAATTAAGGCTTGCATTTCCATAATTTTATTAAACGAATTTGATTTCACTAGCTGGCTGCCGTAGCAACAGAGTTGACAAAAGACTTGACTCCGTTTCGTTGACGATCAGCCATGCATCAAGTCTTTCGTCTTATTTGTGCATGGCTGATCATCGACAAAACGGAGTTAAGTCTTTTGTCAACTCTGTTCGTTGCTACAGCAGGTAGCCAGTGAAAACGAATACACAGCACAAACACAATCCTGAATGATAACAAAAACAATAATTTATCAAGTAAAATTTTAACCAAGTTTAATTTCTTCTTTAGAATATCTCTTTTATACACATTTACACACATGAATTTCATAAAATGCTATGAATACCCATAATAGCTGATGATTTATACATGTTAAACATCTGCATTTTACAATAACTCATTAAAAAAGAAAAAGAAAATATACCCTCAAAAAACTAAATATGAACAGGTCAATGCTTCCATCTCTAATAAACCAATCTAATTAACCAATCGTTTATTATGTTTAATTTTGTTATCACTCATTACCTGTACTTCCTTCCACTCATCTACCAATGATACCAATGAAGGGACCTTCACAACTTGAACCTGATATCTAATCAGTTCATACTTTCATGCTTGTACATTTAGGCGTAACATTTGGCCATTTTTGTTGAAAACTTTGTCCTCTCATCCACCACAAGGATCAACTCGTATTTTTTACCTTTCCTGAACATGCATGCCTTTGTGACCTTTCAAATAAAGAATACAACAAGTCAAATCAGTTCAATCTTGTAGGATTGTTTTTGTAGCTGTCAAAGTTGCTCTAATAGATTTCAAGCCACTATGGTAAGATTATGCATTATGACCTGTTGAACTCTAATTCTTCACATTTTTATGCTCATAAGTACAACATTAGAATCACCTCAATGGTACTATAAGACTTGGTAAGCAGTCAAACATAGAGAAAATGCTATTTCGTAAACAAAACACTAGATAACATATGCGGGCACCTCGTTGCCCAATACATGAATACAAGGATATTCAGGCATCTCGTTGTCCAGAATTATCCTGTTTCCAAATCGACTGAGTAAATGAAGCAAACAAGCATGGTAATAATGTAATGGCAATTTAAAAAAAAAGTTATATTAGGGCCCCTTCTGTCATAACAGATATTCTGGCACCTTGTTGACTAATTATGTGAGTATTCAGGCACTTCACTGCCTGAAATCATACTGTTTCTAAATGTTGCAAGCAAGTGAGCGAGGAAAAAAAAGACACTTAATTGTCTTCAAAATGTTGTTTCTTCATGAAAATATAAAGCAGTTTCTAATATTTTGTTTTCACAAAATTGACATTTATTTCATAATGGATGAAAAAAAATAATATTGAATTAAATTTTTTGGAATTTAATTTCAGCACATTAGAGATGTCCTGCAGCACCCTGGTTGAAAACAGCTGCTTTAGGTGATCAATCAGGTAATGCTATGGTCACAAAGGTTCGTACAAATAATAATTTTGTACGAATCTCCCTATTTTTCCATTGTCTTCCCGAATTTCCATTGTCTGAAAATCGTTGTACAGCGTTTGTAGCAGTTTGTAATGGCATTTGTGACCGAGGCTTTAGATAAAAAACAGAATATTATTATTTGGGACCAAAATATAGTCAAAATATACAGACGTAGACCACAAAACTCAGTAAAAAACCCACCAGATCAACTATTGTACATCTAGGTATACACAACAGGAAAGCCTCTAAATAGCACCTAAACAGACATTTTCAGGCATCTCAAGAACTCTTAACACCCTTCTCAGCATAATTTACTGAAAACTTTGATGTTCATTTCCTCAAGTTTATTGATATCCTATAATGAAAAATTCTGAACGGCTGCTGTTCAATAGCAAGAATTTTGTCTTCCTATAAAGATATAAGAGATATTTCAAATCACTTATATTTCATGACCACTGACATTAAGGGGAATCAAAACATTTGCCAATGCCGATAAGATGAAAATAGTGAAGTGCAAATTGTATATGAACTATTTGTATTCATCCTGTTAATACTGTTCTCAATTTTATATCGCATTTACAAGATATTTTTTTGAAATTCCACACATATAACATCACATGTTTTAAAGGGATGTCAGCCAACTTGTACTGAATAAGAGGCTTTCCATATGTACAAGTCAATTAATCTTCATAAATCCTGTATGATTCTACTTTTTCAGGAGAGCTCAGTTGCACAAAGGACTATAGACCTTCCTTGGCTAGCAAATTCTGTAATGGCTCATATGTATATATATTTATATATATATATGCAGCGCAAACCCGTCTGTAAACACCACCCAAGGGAGACAAGAAAAGTGGTCTTTATAGGCAGGTGGTCTTTAAGTACAGGTGCCTATAGTACATGTTTCAATGGGAAACCATTTTCAAGGGAAACAACAAATACGGTCTTTGTAGACAGATGGTCACTAAAGCAGATTTGACTGTATATATATATATCCAAACTTTGAAGGTATTCTGATTGGACTGATGAAGAGACATACCCCTCCATATCGATCCTGGACATGCAGGGTTAAAGTTTTGAGGTAAATTTTAAAGAGAAACAAATATTAATGTCATAATAAAATGACTAAATAGAAGTGGTACTTAACAAGTTCAAGTATAGAGTTCTTGAATTGTCAATCATATGAATCATTCCACCTGCCATTTTTTAAAGAAATCATTTCCCTTGTCATCAACCACAATAAAAGCTGGGAAATCCTCCACATCTACCCGCCAGATAGCCTCCATACCAAGCTCTTCATACTCTAACACTTCAACCTTCTTGATACAGTCCTGAGCCAAGATGGCTGCCGGCCCGCCAATAGAACCAAGGTAGAAACCACCATGAGTCTTACATGCCTTGGTGACCTGTAGAATGAGGGGAGGGGGAGGGGAGGGGAGGGGAGGGGAGGAGGGGGAGTTGGAGAGGGAGGCAGAGGGGAGGAGGGGAGGGAGATCGAGGGGGAGGAAAATAGGGGCACATATAATGAGAAATAGACAACGGGCGTGTTCATAGATGGGTGAAAAGGAGTGAAAGATAGAGAGAAGAAAGAGACAGGAAGAGAATGTGTTTTAAAGCTTAGAAATAAAATATTAGTATTTTTTTCTGTTCACTCTAATCATTTCATGTTCTGAGATGCCGAGTGTTTTTTTTGGAGAGGAATAATGTTTATTTTATTTGTTTTTTGTAATACTTTTATTTGGATCTGAGTCCTTATTCTGAATTCAATGAATTGATACCAAAGATTTTGTTATTGTGATAACACAGTGCTTGATCCAAAGAAAAAAAAGAAGGCCATATTGTAGGAAAATCCTATTTCATCAGACTATATCATAAAGATGTTGACCACTAGTGTGTGTTTCATAACTTTCTTTGGACCGCTGAGGGGAGTTATATTTCCACAAAGCGCGCAGCACTGAGGCTAAATATTTCATATTCTTCACCACCCGATCTTAATACTGTACAATCCAATATCCAAAGTGATGATATACTACATATTGTTAAAATAAGATATCATAGAGATTTATTGCTGTATATTAAGAAATGTCATCTATTTTTTTAAAACAGATTTTGACTAACATGTCAAAGATAATGAAATTCAAATCTAAATCAGTGTTTATGAATCAGTCTGCTTATGGTGGCGGGTCATTGCGTTTATAGATTTGAAACAGAATTTTTTTTTTGGTAAAAATATGTGGTATACAATAGGGATATGTGCCTTGCAACTTAACAAAAACAAAGTCATCAAAGATTATTACTGTACACCATACAGCTTCTTGGGTACAAGGCAAATTGGTTTGTTGCCTAATTGGTTAGACTGAACTGGTTATCACATGTGTAGCCAATGTGATAATACATGTATGACTGAATGATAAGTACGCCACACACATAAATCAAGAACTTACATCTTTGCTTCTGTTCCCTTTGGCTAACATGACCTTTGACCCGCCAGCAGCCTGAAATGAGTTGACATAAGAGTCCATTCTGCCTGCCGTTGTAGGTCCAAATGATCCCGATGCATAGCCCTACAATCATGTGAAAGACATAGAGTTATATTGATAAATAGCCCTACAATCATGTGAAAGATTCCACTCGATATAACATGTTTTACCAACAAATTCAGTATTTCCCAACTTCTACTTCTATTTCTATGGTAATACTCATCAACGCCTGTTCAGCATCTAGATGAGGGTAAAACATAGAGTTGTTATATACAGCTCTATGTGGGACAGTTCCTGAAAAGGGAACTAAACTGTTTCAAGAGTCACCTTGAACTGCTCCAAAGAAGGCATTTTGACGATGATCTGAGGTAGCTCGTCCCAGTCCTTAAATGTCCTTTAGTGTCCCAAGTGATGTTATATTTCAATAAGGCTCCAGGTGAACAATACTTTTAAAGGGCAATCTATCATTCTGTGACAAAGACATTTCTGGGCAATGTCACTATTAAAAGAAAAATGAATGTGAGAAATAAGTTTTGTAAAGGCCATATCATTGATTAATATAGTGTTCATCCATCATACTGCTCCAAAACAGTTATTAAAGGTGAAGGCCAGTTTTGGAAACGCCCCCCTCTCAAAAAATGAAATGGAAGCTCTTATTACCAATCTTGTGAAAGAATATGTTTTGATTAAGATATGATACAAATTTTGCCGGGAAACCGCCTACTAATTGATATATTTGGTAAACAGTTATTAAACTGCAAGCATGCAGCAGCCTAGAGAACCCTGCAGGGTTTTACAAGTAAAATCTTCTGAAATAAGAGGATATCTCACTGAAGGTGTTTGGGTTCTTACCTCTGGTGTCTTTGCTGGTCCTGCATAATAAACAGGATGATCTTTCATATACTGAGGAAGCTCTTCACCAGCATCCAACCTCTCCTGCAGCTTAGCATGTGCAATGTCCCTAGCAACCACCAATGTGCCTGTCAAGCTGATCCTAGTTCTGATTGGATGCTGAGTCAGTGTTGCTAGGATATCATCCATGGGTTGGTTTAGATTGACCTTGATGACCTCACCACTCAGGTCACCCTCTTGGACCTCAGGTAGATACTTGATAGGATTGGTTTCAAGCTGCTCTAGGAACACACCTTCCTCTGTTATCTTACCAATCGCCTGTAGAAAAGCAATCAATTTACATTGAATTCCACATATATGGTGAAACACCCTTGTCTGCATTCAGATTCAGATTATTTAATTGCTCCATATTTTCATATTGCATGGCTATTTATCAAATATTCAGAGACAAGTCAAATACATATGATTCCCTTATACTTAAAGCCACACTGTCCTACTTGTAGCTACTTGCTCCCTCTATATAGAAAACAATGCCTAATCGGTGACCATTGGTCCCCCATGATCCTCTTTTTCTTATGTTAATTGAGAGCTGAGTTGATGAGATAACCACCTTAGGTTAGGAATATTGTGTTTTGAGGTCAAACAAATTGCAATAAAATATTTTTCACTGCAATGCATTTTAGTAAGGTCCTCAAAATGACATACTAAAAGTCCAAAAAAATCCAAGTAGTGGAAGTGCCCCTAATTTGCATAAATCCAATATGGCCGCTATTTTGAGGATTTTCACATAGATTTTGTCATATTTGTCAACTTGTATAGGCTGTTGTGGCACTAAAGGAGTAGGAAAAGTGATCTGCTGTACATTTTGTATCAACTAAAATACCCATATTCTACAGGTACATCACACACCTGAGACAAATCCCCCGCACACCCACACAATCCAACATGTAATTTATGCTCAATTTATTACCTTAGCAGATGATGTTATTTCATTATGCACTAGACAAATATCATGTCATTTTATATTGAAACAACTAAAACAAAAATATCAGTTCAGAAAAACTGGCCCTTATGAGTATTCGTACAAACACAAGAGCTGTTATAGGGTTATGTAGGGGTACAGCCCGTACCTTACATTATCCGTGTAGTGGACTAATTGTGTCTATTTTCCATAAATCCACAATGGCCGCCAATTCTAGGATTTTCTCCTAGATTTGGTCAAAATATTCACCATACATACCTTTTAGCACACTTTTAGTGTACTTTTAAAGTCTAAAATGTTATTTCCAAGAATTTTTTGTTTGCATAAGGTTTCATATGCCCGGTTGAGTGTTTTAATTTGCTTAAATTCAAAATGGCTGCTAAATTAAACATTTTTGTAGAGAATGTATTATAATGATATTTTTTGTCTTATGTTACATTGAATACATTCAGACTAATTGCAACAACACTTATATATGTTGTACAAATATATTTATATTTCAAATGTTTCATAATTAGGTTTTTTAATTTGCATATATACACATACATTTTGTTAAAAGTGGGTTAATCAATTTTGTGTTGATTCTCACCTTACAATGCATTTCAGAGCAGCTATGTCTATGTTAGTTTACAATCCCAGTGCAATTGTTATTACAGGATGCAGGTCATGAGGCCTACAGTTAAGTATACATATTTTAATTTGATTAGAGTTGGTAGTCTCCTACAAACAAACATTTATGTGGCATGCTGATCAGTAGTATCGTCAAGTTCTAGGTAGGCCTATAATGGTGGTGAGTTGCTACAACTAGTGCCATGACAATCAGTGCAGGCTGTTGGACATTGGAGGCCATACTTCCAGCACGTGCATTTCTTGGCTGCACAATCTTTCTTGCATCCACATCTGATGATCTTAAGGTGTTATGCGGAAGCTGGTGTTTTATCAGTTTTTATTGGAAGATACTTCCCATCCATGACCTGCCAACTCAGTTTCCCGATGTCAGGCTGTCTGCCATTCCTTTCCATTCTAATATCTGATAGTACACACGCAGACTGTGGAACTTTCCTGCTGCTGAAGTTGGTTGGAAAGTCTTTGCTTACGCAATCTTCTATTGAGTCACCGCCATACAGGCATACAAGTGCCTTCTCTCCAGTTGGAATAATGGCCTCCTTCAGGTATGATGCCGGCTGACTAAATACCATGGCAAGCTCACAGAAGTCGTCATTCTTCATGATTTTCTTCAGTGCTACGCCTTTCCCTAGTCCAAATATGCGAGACATTGTGCCGCAGTCCAGAAGCACACGACACAGAGAAAGTAGTCACACACACTACTTCCTAGAGTTTCCTTCAGCTGTTTGATATGTTCGGTTCTTCTTGGAGTTGCCTTAATTGGGCTCAGGTGCAAAAAAAAAGAAGTCCTTTGAATTCAGATCAGCGTAGAAGATCAGCACGATGAGAAGGTTTGTGTCATCATCGACAATAACTGTTGCTTTGAACTTCTGTTGCATCACAATTAATTCCAGGATCTGCTCTTCCTCAATTGCTACATCACAATGAAGATCAAGAAGATGCTGTCCGTTAGTAGTTGTTCAAGAGAGAACTTAAGTGGGCTGCTCCACGAAATTAGCTACTCCACATGGAACACCTGGGTGCTAAACAACCTCTGGAAATTCCTATAGTGATCACTATAGGAGCTTCCAGAGGTTGTTTGTACTTGTTGCAGATGTATATTATACAAGTCTGGTATCAGCATGGTATTTAGAGCAGCATCAACGAGTAAATGCATGGCTCCGCACATGCAGCTCTAGAAATAGCCTTTCCACCAAGCATATATGGCATACTTTATACTTCAGGAAGTTCATGGGGCCCTGAGTCCGTCATCAAATGCCCTGCAGAACGATCTGCTTCAAGTCACTGTCACTTGGCTGGCTCCTGGTTATTGTGAGTGCCTTCCACCAGAGCAGCTTATCAAACGTCCAAACAGGTGTATAGTATTATACCTTTAGCATGGGTACAAGCAAAACGCAGAGTTTAGTAAACACATGCAGGATGGATCACTAGGATTCATGTCAATCATGGGGAGAAACATAGAAGATGACTGATCATGGTACTTGCCGTTGTGTTTATTATCTGTATCGTTCCGGACCTTTGAAGGCCTTGGGGACCAAAGTAGTAAAGATGTCTTCAACAACACATCAAGATCAAATGTTGGATCTTCTGGTCCCCGATTCACAATCGGCTAGTAAACCAGAGGTTGTACAGTTGTAGATGCCTTTAAGCAGGGATGCCAACCTTTCAGAGCACAAATCAGTAATCATAAGGCTAAAAATCCGTAATTTGGAGACAAAATCCGTAATTTTCTGCGCGACGCAAATTTTTCTGCACGTTGGCAAGCGCAGCTCCCGCAGGCAAGCGCGATAGCACAACAAGTTAAATAAAAGTAACATACCTGTTCATTAGTTGGTGTTACACGATGCATTTCCATTTCTTACTGTATTCTTCTTTAAAAGTCTGTAACTTCTTGCCACGCTTCTTAGTTGTGGAAGACATGATGATTGATATCTAAATCCAACCAACATGAGTTCAGATTGTCGACGAAAATCGACGAACGCTGTGACAGCCTGTGAGAAATCCGACAGTGTACACGGCGCTAGCGTAGCGAGGCCTGGCGCTGGCCGCGCGGCCAAGAGAGGTATTTCACCCGGCCCCCGCTCGCGAAGCACATGTATGCACCTGCACTGTGAAAGGGGTGTGCTAGATAACAAATTGTCCAATCGGAAGCCCTATGGGATTTCTATGCATGGATTCAAGGATGGCTGCGCTGCAATAGTCAAAAGTACGTGCTAAACCTTAAAGTGCTAATTTTGAAAATCGGCAAAATCGGCAAAATCCGGGATTTATGGTATGAAAATCGTACCGCCAGTAATCGGCCGATTTCCCGTAGAAATTACGGGAAATCCGTACTAGTTGGCATCTCTGTTTAAGTATTCAATGTTGATACGTCCAACAGTAGCAAAGTCCTCAGCGGATACCGTTTAGTACAGGCTTACAGTAAATTATCCCTAGGGTTTGGGTAGCAATGTGCCCATCTGTGGAAAGTACCTGATCCATCAGGAGTGTCGATATTATTTGCAATAAACTGAATGAACTCTTGAGAAATTGCCGCACTTCTTTCATATTTCTTAACCACCGGATAAGAGCATTAGAAGCATTGCGCATGCAGTGTGTCGATCAGAAAGCGAGATGAGAATTGATGATGCATTTGTAGTCCAAGCTGAAGAGGAGCAAGGAGAACCCTTGGACGTATTGCGTGCATTATGGCTTGCCCAATAGATGCCAGCATCACAATCTACCTTTTGGCCAACAAACATGTTCCTCAATAGCAGTTGCAGGGAATCTGTGAGAAATGCAGGTAAACGTGTCACTTGTAATTTTCTTTTAATAACTTGACGTCATTCTTTAAACGGTGAGGCAGCAGTCTTGATGATCCTCATTTTCTCCTGCTTTGGTGTGTTGTTCTTTGGCTGCTTGTGGAATTCATACAGAATAGCAAACTGTGCTACGAAATGTAACTACATCATGGTTTCCTTTCAGTTCAGTTATACAATCCTCTCACCTAAGTGCCACTGTATTTTCTTTTTCATGTATACCCCACTGTCGGCATCATGATCTGTATCCAGAAAATACTCTTGCATCTTAGTAACAAAATCAACTACTGTTGTTTGTTCCTCATCATTTTCCTCAAGGGACTTGACTATTTTAAGAATGCAGTCAATTTCACCTCATGTTTAGTTCGGCCAGTTTTAGCCTTTTTGGAAGTGCTTGTGCTCACAGAGTATACCATTGGTATTTTTTTTTTTAGTTTTAAAGTTCACCATGCATAGTTTATGGTAAACTGCATCAACTGCGGGAAGATCATTGACAGACGCAAGTCTTCCAGACACATTTTGCGACCAAGTATCATTTCTTTTAATGCATATCTCTACTACAACTACAGTAATAGTACAATCAGTACCACAACAACAACTAAAGCCCCCTTCCTATTCATGTGTAGGCTTGCCTTTTGTAGCACTGCATAGATCAGCGATCAAGAAAGGTGTACATTCTGTGGCGTCATGAATTACAGGCTTAATTTGACCTCTGAATGAATTTAGATGAAGGAGGGGGGGGGGTGGGGGTGTAATAACAAACTTTGATTGGTTATTGTGCCTTAGTTGATTCTGATATCTTAATTTTAAAAAATGTATTGTATTCTGCACATTATAAGCTTTCCATCGATATTATAATGAAACTATTATTGGGTGTTCTACTTCAAAGTTTTGCAATGAATGACTATGAATTAGGCATCATGGATATCACATAATAAAAGCTTACGGGTCTAACTTAGTTTGATATTTGACAAAAATAGTGACTAGAGAGCACAAATACCGCAGTAATATGGATAATTGTACTGTGATGAGCCATTAGCATGCAATGTACTATTTGTCAGATCTCTAAACTTATGTAAACTGTTACACTGAGAACAACTTCTAATTCCAATGACCATGAGGATAATGTAAGGTACAGGTTGTACCCCTAATAGCCCTACCAACAGCTCTTGTGTTTGTACGAATACTCATAAGGGCCAGTTTTTCTGAATATTTTATTTCATTTTTTTCAATATCATTAAAATGACATGATATTTGTCTAGTGCATAATGAAATAACATCATCTGCTGAGGTGATAAATTGAGCATAAAATACATATTGGATTGTGTGGGTGTGGATGTGTGGGAGATTTTGTTCAGATATGTGATGTACCTGTAGTATATGGGTATTTTAGTTGATAAAAAATGTACAGCAGATCACTTTTCCTACTCCTTCAGTGCCACAACAGCCTATACAAGCTGACAAATATGATAAAATATATGTGAAAATCCTCGAAATAGCGGCCATATTGGATTTTTGCAAATTAGGGGCACTTCCACTATTTGGATTTTTTAGGACTTTTAGTATGTCATTTTGGGGACCTTACAAAAATGCATTGCAGTGAAAAATATTTTATTGCAATTTGTTTGACGTTTACCGAAAAAAAGACACAATATTCCTAGCCTACCTGTCCAGTGACCTTGTAGAGTGATCTAATCCCTTCTATTAACTAGTACAGATAAGCTTTAACATAAACCATACTCAAATTGTAGCAAGGTGACTTGAATATATACATAACATGTAATGAAATGTCATACTAACATGTTATGATAGTTATCCTTGCTATCTAGTAGCATGATGTCTATATGAGACTTACCTGCCTGTCTGCAGAGCATGAAACACCCAGTCCTACAGGGCAAGATGCACCATGCCTAGGAAGACGGATAACTCTCACATCATGACAGAAGTATTTCCCACCAAACTGAGCTCCTATACCAAGCTGTTGAGATAACTCATGGATTTCTTTCTCCAACTCTACGTCTCTGAAGGCTCTTCCATGCTCATTACCTGTATGGAATAACCATACCAAATATACCAGGGGGGTGTTTCACAAAGATCCTAAGTTGGACTTAACAATTATGGAAAGCCGTTAGTATCCTTGAAAATATTTTGTAAAAGTTATTTTAAAAGGCATAAAATGTTGATTCGAATCATTCATATTTTCTATTATCATGGGAGATTTCATGTTGATGTGGAATTTATGAAAAGTCTAAAATACTTGAATTTTTGCTTTTGAATATATTTCATTATTACCGGTAGGCCACAAATGGCTCTCCATAATATTTAAGTCCAACTAAGAGTTAAGTTCGACTTAGAAACTTTGTGAAACACCCCCCTGGGCTTGTACCTTAGATGAAAGGAACAGTAATGTATCAGCGAGAGGACAATAGAGATACGAAATAGAACCAAGCACCGCAATGGGCTGATGGCGAGCTGCACAACATTTATTGTATTTGGACCAGTGAAATCATGTGGTGAATGAGTTTGTTATGTTAGATCTAGTGTAGGGGGAAATAAGATACAAAGTAAATCTGGGAGATAAGGCAAAAGAAATTACATCATATTGAGAGTTACAAGTATACATGTATGAATTTATTATAATAATAATAATATAATTACTGTACTGACCACTGCTCTAATGGAGGATGACTAGCAGTGCATTAGAATCATAGGAAATGTGAAAATTAATCAAAATTTTAAAATGCCCTTATCTTGCATAACTAACCTCAGTGAAAGCTTCCACAGTGGCTATTTTTAGTATGAATACTAACCTGTCGTTGGTAGGGTGTCATAATACTTTGTAGAAGCCATTTTAACAGTCTTGAGAGTCATCTCTGCGGATAGTCCACCAACCACAAACGATAGATGGTATGGAGGACATGCAGCTGTACCAATTGTCTGCAAAATATATCAATTCATTCAAAATATTATTACCAATTAACTGGAAATGCCCAAAGGGGTCTTACATGTAGGTAGTCTACGCGAAATGTATCAGCACAAAAAGAAGCGTTCGTAACGCAGAAAGGCCCAACGCCGAATGAAAATTTGTGATGTGACATACATGTATGTTAATTACATTTTTGTTGGTAATGTTAAGTCTAAACAAGGTAGCATAGATATTTCCCAGTCCTGTGTCCTTGAAATACAGTTCTATCACAATGCCATAAAACTATGCTTTTCACCACACCAATTATGAGTTTTTTGTTCTGGACACATTTTTTCTTGACGCTATATTTGGTAAACTACCTTTATAGAGGAATTTGATAACATTGCTCATAAGCTAACTTACATAATCTCTGACTTTAGCATTCAATTGTAATGAAAAAAATTGCAGGACTGTAGAGACATTCTAGATTTTATGAATCAATAGTTCATTTAGATACCAAGATATCCATGATTAAAATCTGGAAATCATACCAATGAATAAAACTCAGCCTGTACAGGTGAACATGTACTCTCCCATGTCAGTCAATAACTGCTAGTATATGGTACCCCATGTTGGTGTGCATACAACATGCAACTGTGAGCACCAAGCCACCAATAAAAAAAATTGATATTGTATGTAAATTAATATGATTTTTGCTTTTGGACCCCATGGAAGAACAGGACCATTCTCAAAAATGGTCCTGAAATGTGCTATCCAACTGTTTGTCTATACTTTACACATTTATTTACTTTGTTATCATTTGAAATGTGTTTTATATGTATGTTTTTAAAACTTGTATGTTTATATGAATTTCGGAAATAAAAACAAACAAACAAACAAACTGGCAGCTAGTCATCATTAATTTACGTTTCTCTCTGGATTGCCTTCTCCTTTGAGGCACTTCTCAAAATATATTATAGAAAGCATATCATTACAGGACCTCTAAAAAGAAAAGGCCCTCTTAATAAGTTGACATTTTAGTTGTTTTGTGTGTTGGATCAAATGGGATCGTTGTGCAGCACTGGATCACAATGACATAACTGATTAAGCCAATCTGAAATTCCCATAAGTATTGTGATCGCAACTTTAACAAAGTGTAACTTTCTCATTTTTTAAGCTGATTTTGTTCAAACTTTCACAAGTCTGCTTCTCTGATTTTCTGCTTTATTTTAGAATAGTTTGCTATTAAGATTGGATTTCCCTTTAATTGCTATTGCACAATACATACCTGCTAAGAAATATATGAATTGTTTGTTTTATACTTATCAATAATATAGTTGCGAATAAAACAATAGAAAAACATTAAAAATATTTGACCCAGAACACAGGCCTTTTGTCTTGCTTTGACTATAATTCCATTTCTATCAGCTTTGAAGAAATCTAAATACCTTGATTTTCTCATTGACAAAAGCCATGAGTTTTTCTTTATTGAGGAGAGCCTTTGTCTGCTGGTAAAGAAATGTTTTATTTGCTGAACCTCCTCCCTTGGCGATAAAGAGAAAGTGATATTCATTTCCTGGGACTGCGTAGAGTTCTATCTGTGCTGGTAGGTTGGTTCCTGTGTTTGCTTCCTTGAACATATCCAGTGGGGATACCTGAAAGAAACAGACAAAAAAAAACTTAATCATTCTGCAGTGGCGGTTAAAAGGGGTATTAAATGCATTTATAAATTCTTGGAACTTGCTCTGGAGAATAGACAGCAAAGAAAAGGAGACCTGTTAAACTTAATACACGCATTTCAATGGGATGTCGCTCAACTTGTACTTATGACGGTTTCGTGAGATGCAGCCATGGAGGACAGGACATGGAAAAATGAAAGAGAAGCCTGTCTGTATCACAAAGAGCTTAATTCTAATAGGAGCTAAATCCACTTTTGATGAAAATTGAGTTATTGATATCAGAACATTGTTCACTTAAGTACCTGTCTTTCAACAAAATTATTTACCTACATTTTGGGAGCAATTATGAAAAAATGCACCTTCTAATATCACTTTTCCATAGACGCCTGTAAAAAATCTGGTAAAGAATTTTTTTTCTTCTCAGGAGGTACAAAAATGGATTTAGCTCCTTTTGGAATTAAACTCTTCATATGTGAATATGGATTCTTGATATAATTAAGAATGAGAAAGTTAATTTCATTCTTTTTGTTACACTTGAGCCAGAACTCAACCTTCAATTTAAATCATATTACAGTATATTCCTTATCAGCCGAGGGGTCTCACCTGTGAATACCTAAGATTCTTCTGTGTGTATGTGTTATAGACTCCTCTAGATAAATGTTCTTCATCTCTCTCATCTGTCCAGACATTCTGACCTCTTTTACCTGGGCAACACAATAAAAGGTAAAACTAACCCATAATGGCAGTAAACCTTATGTCTACTCAACAATATTATTATCAAAATTACCCTCTATTCCTCTTTTTGGTGCAAGCCATTTTCTTAATAATATGAAGAACATGTACATGAATCATAGGGAAAAAAACATTCTGGTCAGAAACATATTTTTAAAATCAAAAGTCAAATTACATTGACTTGATAGCGCAAAATGGTAAAAAAAAAAATCCCAACAACATGAATATATAAAAAGTTTCATACATGTACTCAAAAATTTAAAAAGCTCTTATTCATATTTTAAAATTACCTGACTTTTTCTCAATAAAAATTGATTATCTGAGGATTACCTGACAGAGCAAGAGCAAACTTTATTCAACCTTTGTTCTATTGAAGTATATTACTTCAAAGCTGGTGAATGTAATAGTTTGTTACTATTGACACTACGAAATATGAGATGGAGTCATTATAACATTAGATGAGTTAACACATTTACTATTAAAAATTCAAGAGGATATTTATTAATGATAATAATAATAATAATAATAATAATAATAATAATAATAATAATAATAATAATAATAATAATAATAATAATAATAATAATAATAATAATAATAATAATAATAATAATAATAATAATAATAATAATAATAATAATAATAATAATAATAATAATAATAATAATAATAATAATAATAATAATAATAATAATAATAATAATAATAATAATAATAATAATAATAATAATAATAATAATAATAATAATAATAATAATAATAACAACCAAGTGATTTATATAGTCCTCTTACACATATTAAACAGTTTCTCAGAGTTCCAACAACTTAACTTACACAAAGCAGAAGTAAATGATAATCACTGAATAGGAGAGTTCTTAGAACCTTCTTAAAAACATCTTATGAAGGGGATAGGCGGACAGATCATGGCAGATCATTTGAAAGTAGTGGTGCAGAGGCATGAAAAGCATTATTACCAGCTTTGTTTGTTCTGGGCAAAAGGAGTATGGTGCAGTCTGAGCTTGGACGAAGGCCTGGTCTGGCTTTGATAGGAAGTAATACCCTTTAACTAGGTCTCTAGAAATATACAATCCACATCAAACAGCCAGGCGTAAATAAAGAATGGCTACTATAGCATTGAATGTACCTGAGGCACTGACACACATTAGCTTACCCATCATGATGGCTGTTCCTGTATCTTGACAACCTGGTAAGACCATTGCTGATGCTACGTTGGCATTCTTGAGTAGCTCTAATGATACAAAACGATCATTACTTGAGGCTTCGGGATCATCAAGGATGTTTCTTAATTGCTAGAGGTACAAAAACAATAAGCATATGGATAGCAGTCATGGCATGAAGTTCATGGACAATTTATACAAAATATATATCAAAAAACAGAAACAGAAAACATGCCTTACAGTCACAAAAGAATGGTTGCAAGGTAACATTTATAATATGAACAATTCAGTATTTCTGGAGAAATTTCACACAGGTGCTGTATAAAAATAAATTTGACTACCTGTACACACACCATTATATCATTGTCAGACATCATTAGAATCGAGCATGTCAAGCATAGAAGATCTATTCTGCTAGAAATTACTTTATTACCAGCCTACTACTTGACTGATCTCTGAGAAGTGTCTAACTTTTGTTTTAAAGTGGCCCAAACATTGTGGAGCGTGTGTAACTGCAAGGAAAAGGCGCTATATCAAATATCTTTTGGATTGGATTGGATACATGTAGCTTGTTCTTACTTGTAAATGTTTTAAACTTGGTAAGTAAGCAATGTGAATCATAGCTTATTCCTTAAATAGATGTGTAGACCTGAGAAAGAGAGCTATCATGTCAACCACAGCTTGTTCTTACTTATAACTGTTTGGGCCTGAGTAAGTGAGCAATATCATGATAATAATCATGGTTTGTGAAATATAGCTGAAATGAAAATATCAATCATTGCTTGTTCTTACTCTTAGTTATTAGTGTTTGGACCTGAGTGAGCGATGTTAATCATAGATTCTTCTTACTTGTAAATGTTTGGGCCTGAGTAAGTGAGCAATGTCAATCATAGCTTGAGATGCTAGCATGGTTAGTGCTTCTGGTTTCACTCTTAGAATCTTTCTGCCTTCAACTTCAATAGTAGAGACGAAGTCACCTAGGAAACAATAACAAAAACCACAGATATGAACTTCAAGTTGCTATCTGGGGACCATTTTATTAATGGAAAATATACAATTTTGAAGGCTTTTAGTACAGGGCAAATGGGAGGGGACCTAGCAAGATATGTCACAGAGTTGCCAATCCGTGTTTGATTGATCGCATCTTAAAAATTTAAAAACTTCTTATTTTTAATTGGTTTTTGATCAAACTTTCACTGACCTGTTTCTTTCATTTTTATGCTTCTATTAAAACCAACTCGATATCAGGGTAGACTTTCTCTTTAATTAAACATTTAATCAAATTGTTCATTTATTAACACATTCATATCATTCATCTGGTCACTTTATTTTCTCTCTCAAAAAGATACAATACAGAAAGAAATTCCAGAGAAATATGTGAATAGAGGCCATTGACTGTCAATGATTTTCAAACAGACCAGGGGCCAGTTTTCTCAAAATTACTATAATTCTATTCAAAGACATCCCATAGAAATGCCTGTTTTTATTTTATGATACACACTTCAATGGGATTTCCAAGAAGTTGAATTTTTCCTTTGAGAAATGGCATCCACCTTACCGGTAAGTTTCTTGAATGGTGTGTCGCGAGCATGATCAGGTTCAAACACATCCTGGTAGATAAATGGTTTCTGAGCTGCTACAGAGGCTTTACTTCTCATCAACCCATGTCTCAACGGACAGTGAGATCTCAGAAACCTTGAACACAGCATCTAAAAACAAGAAGAAAACACAGGCCGTCTAAAAAAAATGACATCCTCTCTAAAAGTTGGTTCGTAATGTTGGAGCAATAACCCCTTAAATTCCATTTGAATTTCATAAGGACCTAAGCTAAAACCATTAAGGTATTTTTGTCTTTGTAAGATGAACTATTTCACGTCACTCAGCACTACGGTTTGCCTAGCCCTGGTTCCGATCGCGTGACGCCATGCCTCATTCAGCGAGGCATGCGCACAGCTGTCCGATGGTACCGTAGCAGCCGACGAAGATTTGCTATCGGTATGATATCGTTATGTCATCGGATCATTATCAAGTTCTGTCTATTCTACCCAATTCACTGAAAGCCTGTCCCACAATGCAGTTCACAAATGACATCATGGCATTATTTACCTCATTCCCCATACGTTGATACCAAGATCATTCGAGCATCATTTTTCCGGACAATTCTAACCTGTTAATTCAAGTTTTTAGCAGTCCTAGCATATGAAAATTGTATTTCTTAATCAGTAATTTTGACTGATTTTGTATAATTTGTGAAATATTGTGATATACTTTTATGGATTCTCAAGTGCGAGTGTATGTGCAAGGAATGTGCAAGAAAAGATTTGTTCATGTGTGATGAGCCGTTGCTTACGAAATAGCTGCCTCATGAATTATGCATATATGGATTTTGCGCATGCGTTGTACTAGCTCAATGCAGAAGAACTCTTAAACTCTGTACACAGGGCATGGGAAGCGAACAGTAAGTGCTCAGAGGGCACATAATAAAAATAGCATTTCCGTTTGCTAATCTTTTTCTTACCAAGCTGATTTTACCATCTTGGGTTCATTCTCATTCAATTTTACCTTTCTAAAAACTGTTTTTATACCATCTACCGTCATCTGCAAAACCAAGGAAATTTTCATCAACAAAAATTGTGAAATGTGAGTTCCATTTAATTTGTTACTGATTAGCAAGTTTGACAGTGGACTCGCAATTACAATTTGAATTTTAAATTATTCTTTCTAGTAACATCACCAAGTCAAAAAAATTGTATTTCATTGCTATTTAGGTGTCATCAATCGTCAAGTACAGATTATGAGTTTTGTACAGTGGTGTTAGAAATGTTGAGAATCAATAGCACAGCTTTTAATACACAGCTAGGATAGTAATGCACCGGGGGCTCGTTCCTAGAAACCAACGACAAGACAGTCATATCCGCCAACTACGGAGATGTCTCTGATCTTCTTAAACCGTTTCACGAAGAGCTTACTAGCTAGTATCTCGTGAATACTATTGGCAAGAATAGGAGCCGAGACTTAGCCTTAGTCGCAATACCACCGGATTATTACAAAATTAATATTAGGGAAAATGCAATTATTTAAATGAATTAGTAATAAAAAAGATTGAAAATGATAGCAAGAAATAAGAGATGCAATATACAGTCAAACCTGTCTATAGCGACCACCGAAGGGAAACACAAATGTGGCCTTTATAGACAGGTGGCCTTTGTAGACAGGTGGTCACTAAAGCAGGTTTGACTGTACTTCCAAATTTGTGTAGATTATACAATAGAAGTACTTGTAAAATATAATTGTGAGTATTTCATTACATGACTGGTGAATTAGTTTTGTTCTTGAGATGGGTACCCCCCAGATATTTTCATTTGATAGTTTATAAAAATACACCCTCATATTATTCTTAATAAAAATACAATGTTATGAAAGTTTTGTTTAATGTTTTAGGCATCAGTACAGTATCCAAATGACAAAAATTCGACATTCCAAACGTTAAAACTCATGTTTTAAAGTATTTATTTTACACATTTGAAGATAGAATTTATCTCGAAAGCAATATGGGTCTGAAAAATAAAGAATACACTTCAAACTATGGCTTGCCTGCCGTGGCTAAATACCTATCCCTTCGATGATTTTACAATGTGGAAATAAAGGCGTATAATCAGTTTATTTAAGTGGGAAAATCCTTAAATACAAACATTGCATATTTTCATGAGATTATCAAATACAAAAAACGATAACTCACTGTTTAAGTGAATGTGTTAAAAAATTATAGTTGGAGGATTTATTGTCCTTTTTTGCCAGCCATAGTCTACCCAATAAATGACATGTGATGGCGCTGCCCATCGACTAAATAGTTATGACAGAGATACGACGGTGTCAGAGGCGTCATAACTCCTTAGTAAGGATGTTGTCATTGATGTTGTCATTGATCTTGGCAAAGAGGGCTTGGTGAAACACGTAGCGGACAAGTTGTTCACTAACGCTGATTTAGTCAAGAAGTTAGACTTATGACAGTTTCTAGGAACGGGCCCCTAGACGATGTGTGCATGCACCCCTTCATTACACATAGTCAATAGGCCTACACACTAACACAGTTGTTATCATACGGGACACAGTCACAGACAGGTAACACCAACAAGATTCTAAATGCTGCTCTTATCATAATTTGTTCAAAATTCATTCATTTCCACTATTCAACACATCCATTGTGGTTCTATACATTACAGTAAAATGTTTTTCCAACTCACGAAAATGGACAGAATGGATATTTGATACTGACCTTGTTGTCTGCTCCTTGAAACTAGCGACCAATAAGCCAGCGACCGACAAGGGAGGTTAAAGTGTCTCCAAAACGGCAAATCGAAATGGAAAAAGAACCAAGTGCCCCTTTACCCCCTTAATTCTGACAGGTACACTTTTTAATTAGACACGTGCCCCTTTTCCTTTCTTAAAGGTGCCCCTTTTCCTTGTCATAAATGCCTCCTTTTCACCCCCAATAATTACCAACAATATCAAAAACGAACAGGTGCTCCTTTTTCATTATAATCAGCGCCCCTTTTCATCTCTGGTGAGTTCCTCTATTCAGGTGCGAGAATTAGTGCCCCATATCCCTCTGATAATTGCCCTTTTTACTTTGACACATGCACCTTTTCTTTCTTAATAACTATCTTTTTACCTTCTGATAAGTGCCTCCTTAGAGCCCCTTTTTTCTTTAATTTTCACTCGCTACACACATTTGCATTTATAGTCGATATATAAGCATGTTACTTATAAGAGAAATTTTCAGTCTTTCTTCATTAAATAATTGTGCTTAAAACTCATCAGGGTTTGTTTTTTGTCCTCTTTATAAGATGTAATTTTTTGCACTGCGAAAATTAATATTCAGATCATCACACCCAATACAACTGCAAAGTATGTTGCTTGAGCAGTAACTTGTACCATATATGTAACCCATAGGAAAGAAATGAGCCTGCCGCATACTCCTGCGGCAGACTTGCCGCAGATCTGCAGCAGACCTGCCGCAGACAGTCATCTTTTTCACATGCAAATTAGTTTTGCCGCAGACTTGCCGCAGACTTGCCGCATACTCTTTCAGTATGATGAAGAGTCTGCGGCAGGTCTGCCGCAGACTTGCCGCAGACTTGCCGCATACTCTTTCAGTATGATGAAGAGTCTGCGGCAGGTCTGCCGCAGACTTGCCGCATACTCTTTCAGTATGATGAAGAGTCTGCGGCAGGTCTGCCGCAGGTCTGCCGCAGACTTGCTGCAGACCTGCCGCATACTCTTTCAGTATGATGAAGAGTCTGCGGCAGGTCTGCCGCAGACTTGCCGCATACTCTTTCAGTATGATGAAGAGTCTGCGGCAGGTCTGCCGCAGACTTGCCGCATACTCTTTCAGTATGATGAAGAGTCTGCGGCAGACCTGCCGCAGACTTGCTGCAGACCTGCCACAGACTCTTCGTCATAAATATTCATATCTCATATAGACCTGCTGCAGACCTGCCGCATACTCTTTCATATCCAGTACGTGGCAATAAAGTATGCATGTAGAAGAACCAGTGATAAACTGATTGATACTTCATAATCGATATTGGCAATATCGATATTACCAATTAGGTAATACCAACATATATCGATATTACCAATTAGGTATATTCTATTCTCAATTGTATTAACTTCATCACATTGATCATTTGAAGTGTATTCAAGAGTAACATTTAAAGAGAGGCTCTTACACATATATATACTAAATATGTATATTGTTTCTTGGTTAGTAATCATAGTTTCTTGGTTAGTAATCAATATATCTATTGCTTAAACGTGAATGTAATTGTAACATGATCAGACAAAATAATCTATTGGTTAATAATGACAAAAGGAAAATAGAAATCACAAAAATGATGTGCATTGTCTTAATTTGCTTAACAAATCATGATAAATGTATTTTTCTGTCACACGTGTAAAGTAATAATGAATATGCATGAGATGATTGGTTTCAATTGGCCCTATTAGACTTTAATGGGATTTCCTGGGGCAGACCTGCCGCAGACTGTTCCTGTGGCGTACTGGTATGCTGCAAGTCTGGAGCAAAGTTTCGCCCTGCCGCAGATCTGCCGCAGACTGTTCCTGTGGCATACTAGTATGCGGCAAGTCTGGAGCAAAGTTTATCCTGCCGCAGATCTGCCGCAGACTGTTCCTGTGGCATACTAGTATGCGGCAAGTCTGCAGCAAAATTTCATCCTGCCGCAGATCTGCCGCAGACTGTTCCTGTGGCATACTAGTATGCGGCAAGTCTGGAGCAAAGTTTCATCCTGCCGCAGATCTGCCGCAGACTGTTCCTGTGGCATACTAGTATGCGGCAAGTCTGCAGCAAAATTTCATCCTGCCGCAGATCTGCCGCAGACTGTTCCTGTGGCATACTAGTATGCGGCAAGTCTGCAGCAAAATTTCATCCTGCCGCAGATCTGCCGCAGACTGTTCCTGTGGCATACTAGTATGCGGCAAGTCTGGAGCAAAGTTTCATCCTGCCGCAGATCTGCCGCAGACTGTTCCTGTGGCATACTAGTATGCGGCAAGTCTGCAGCAAAATTTCATTCTGCCGCAGATCTGCCGCAGACTGTTCCTGTGGCATACTGGTATGCGGCAAGTCTGCAGCAAAATTTCTTTCTGCCGCATACTTCGGCATACTCTTTGCCGCAGACTTTTAGTCTGCGGCAGGTCTGCGGCAGATCTGCGGCAGGTCTGCCGCAGGTCTGCGGCATACTTTTCACTTTCCTATGGGAAAGGAATTGTCGTCATCCCTGGTAGTGTAATCACAATCACAAAGATGTAGGGGTTTATTATACCGGGTCAATGTCGCTAAGGACCGCTATAAAGGTCCGCCATTCATAAGGACCGTTATTCATAAGGTCCGCTTTTCATGATTGGAGAAAAGGGTCATTATTCATAAGGGTCATTATTCATAAGGACCGCTATTCATAATCAAAGAAGAGGGTCGGTATTCATAATATTAGAAGAGGGTCGCTATTTATAATACAAAATCGGGGTCGTTATTCATAAGGGTCCCTATTCATAATATTACACAAGGGTCGGTATTCATAACAAAGAAAGAGGGTCGATCACTATTCATGATCAGATGAAGACCTGTCCCTTGTTAATGAAACGGCCATTGCAGCAATCGAGCGACGGAAGAACTAATTAATTTAATTTAATTTACTTTTAATTAAGGAACTTTACATAACTATCTTGATCTAAGGAGACACGAACGAACGAACGACTATTCATAATACGACGAGAGGGTCGCTATTCATAATACGAAATGAGGGTCGCTATTTATAATGCAAAATGAGGGTCGCTATTCATAAGGGTCATGATTCATAAGGGCTATTATTCATAATTAATGAAGAGGGTCGCTATTCATAATAGGAGAAGATGGTCGCTATTCATAATAGGAGTAGAGGGTCGCTATTCAAAATAGAAGAAGAGGGTCGCTATTCATAATATAGAGTGGGGGTCGCTATTCATAATAGTAGAAGAGAGTCCCTATTCATAATAGGAGTAGAGGGTCGCTATTCAAAATAGGAGTAGGGGTCGCTATTCAAAATAGTAGAAGAGGATCGCTATTCATAAAAAAAAAATGAGGGTCGCTATTCATAATAGGACTAGAGGGTTGCTATTCATAATACGAAATGAGGGTCGCTATTCATAATAAGAAATGAGGGTCGCTATTCATAATAGGAGTAGAGGGTTGCTATACATAATACAAAATGAGGGTCGCCATTCATAATAAGGAATGAGGGTCGCTATTCATAATACGAAATATGAGGGTCGCTATTCATAATACGAAATGAAGGTCGATATTCTTAATACGAAATGAGGGTCGCTATTCATAATAGAAGTAGAGGGTCGCTCTTCGTAAAAAGAAATGATGTTCGCTATTCATAATAATAACAAAGGGAAACATCCCCACAGCTATGGCGTCCTGTACAGGCACGTAGCCAGAGTTTGATGATTGGGGGCACATAATCGATCGAGATCACAAAAAGGGTCTAAACATGTTCAACCGATCTTGGGGGGGGGGCGACATATAGCCCTGAATAGTTGTCTCTTTTTAAAGTAGTTATATTTTATCTGTTATCTTTGATAATTATATAGAGCCAACCCCGCTCATGTGGTGACGTAAAAAAAGAGGAGTAAAACATAACACACGTACATGTAATCCTATCGTAAATTGTCCTCCTTGTTGGAAATCTTGCCCCACCACCATGCCCCCGACTGATCTTATCCAGGCTACGCCACTGAGACATTAAGTAAGCCAAGCAGGCCCATTATCCATTTTAGTTTGCTATATAAGAAACAAGTAATTGTTTTTACGACAATAACGTTTGTGTAGAAAGTAATTTTCATTAGGACTTATGGACCTACAAATTATTTAGCGGGATTGGGCCTGACCATAAGCCTAGTATCTACCGAGCCCCCCCCCCCCCCCATTAATACGCCCAGGCGCGGATCCAGAATGTTCCAATAGGGGGGGGGGGGGGGGGAGGGGGTGGAAATTTGAAAAATGCGCAGACCTTTTTTTCAACTCAACATACCAATACTGACAAGGTCATATTAGAAGCACGATACCGTATACCTACAAGCAGGCACAATTTTGGAAAGGGGCCGGGGGCAGGCTCACGTCACGTCTCTTGTCCGATATCAACATTCCCCGTTTTTAAGTTATACATTTTTTTGACATTTCATCGGGGGGGGGGGGGGGGGGGGCTGAAGCCTCTTGCCCGAAAAAGTAATTTTTTAGTTCGCAATTCGGTTAGTGAGCGAAACGAGCGAGCAAAATTTTGAGCATAATATGTATTTTGTGAAAGTGTTATTTATCACCAAGATAAACGAGAAAAGATATCAAAAATTCTTATTCCGGCAACTCGCTGTTCCTTCCTCCCCCCCCCCCCCCCACCCATTAAGCACGAAAGCTTTGAACTTTCTTTAATTATTAGAAAAAGAAGACGATTTATTGTATCATTCTCGAATCTTAATCCTAGTCTGAATTCAGTTTTCCCCCTCGCTTTGACCTTTCATTAATTATTAGAGAAAAATTACGATTTGTTGTATCATTCTCGACTCTTATTTCTTGTCTGAATTCAGTTCCCCCCCCCCCCTCCTGCGCAAAGCGCGTAAGCTTTGACCTTTCATAATTTAATGAAATTATTAGGGAAAGAAGACGATTCGTTGTACCATTCTCGACCCTTTTTCCTTGTCTGATTTGAGTTCCCCCACCCCCTCCCGCGCGAAGCGCGGAAGCCTTGACCTTTCATAGTTTAATGAAATTATTAGAGAAAGAAG